CACTGAGACTGGCCATGGCGCTTGCAAATAATCCATCATCTATGATCTGTGGTCAGTAACTTTATCTCTCTATTATTGGACCCTCGGAAACAATAAAGTTTCAAGCCCCTTGATAGGCACGTGTGTCATACGCGATACGCAACCTTGTTTACTGGTATTGATAGACTGTGTGCCTTTCGTTCAAATGTTGCCGGAGCTTAAGAACACCTTATTTTGCAAAGCGGTTACTAATACGCAAAAGGCCCTGAATGAAAGGCTCACGGGAGTTCATATTTTAACGATAGAGAATAATGTCCTGCTGTAGCAGACATTGTAAATAAGCTTTATAGAATGACTTCGGCACATGTGTATGATACGCCATTGTCGATTCTATTCCTTTTTTGTTAGATATTATATACATACTCGATATAAGTCCCATTTTGTATCCTATTCATTCTGGCTGAAATACACCGCTGCAAATAGAAGCCATCTCATAATCACACCTATCCCCACACCCACATATACCCCCTGACCATATAACGATCAGAATAGGACGGAGCCTTTGGGAAATCTAATTTACCATACTAATTTGAAACACTCATACTAAAAATATTATCTAATGTTAGCAGACATTGTATTGAGTTAGCCTGAATCTGTTGAAAGCATACGCGTGTACCGTTGTAGTTAGGACAGAGAAGTGATTCTCAGCCCGGTGACAATGCAACGATGCAGGGGCTTTTTATGCCTGTGTTTTATAACACCAGCACGCGAACTCCTGTTTACACGGACTCGCATAGTATCGCGCCGTCTGACGCGTTCAGGCCTGAGCATGGGCACTGGCTCACTCTTGAAACTCTCCAAGAGATTGAAACTACTAAAGGAAGTCTGACAGGAGTAAACGTTCATTCCCTTAGGGCATTGCTTTTCATTCGTCTAAAGAACAAGAAGGGACGTATCGTTCGATTGGAAGAGCACTTCATAAGATTTTTGAATGTTCGTTCAATAAATTTATACTATAGACCCGTTATGTTCTTAAATCCAATTTTGCAAATGATCTCTGTCTAGCTATAGTATAATTCACAAGCAGGGATAGTTTTTTTTTAGAATAAACTTGAATTTAAACATGGTGTCAGCTGAGATGCCGCACTGCAGTGTCAATATTAAGTGGAAATAGAAGTAGCTGTGTGACAATTCTCAGAAACACTGCAGGGCTGTCGTACTTGAACTGAACTTACAATTAATAGATCGAGAGCGACTGGGCAAGACGTTCACTTGGGCAAGGGGCAAATCAAAATTGTTTATATTAAATTAAAGGGGACCAATGTGCAATTACTATTTTTATTATTATAATTATTATGTTGGATCCGCAATACTGCCGGTTCGTCAAGAAGGTGTAATACACAACGGTTCAGTACGGATCATTTTCTTAATTGATGTCATTTATCGGCTGCGCAAATTGTTATCGCACGTATGAGAATAGCGTTAGGTGTTATCGCTTCAGACTATCTGATATTTGCATATAATTATCCATTTGTATTTAATTAATTAATTACTAGGCCACTTGTTACAAGTTACCACTAAGTACAAGGCCTGCCTGTTATCGCTAAAATTTCTATACGGCTTAGCAGACGTAACTGCAAAGAAACCTTCCTCCTTGTGCTTCTGTTCGTGTATGTTTTCAAGCACAAGATGGCGTATTTCGGGCGGGATCGTCGTCAATGGACGACTGAAATACCTGATCTTCTATAGGTTGCGGGGAGCCACGCTTCTAGGAGAAAATCTAGTTCTTTAAATTGATTACATATAATTTTTTATGATGCTTTCAAAAAGTCGTGCTACTTGCTATCTAGTATAACAGTCGAGAAGTGCGAACAATAGGCAAATCCTTGCATAGGTACAGTGGCGTATGTGCTTTGCTAGTACGAAATTTTTTTTTATTAGATATTAATCAATCAGATATTAAACAATCTAATAATCCGATCCTACTTCCATTTACACATTCCAGATTATTAGGCGGTGTCGAAGTTGTATGCTACATATTAGAATGTCGGGGTTACAATAATACGAGGGCTAAGACTTACTATCTACGATAACTTTACGCAGTTGTGTTAAAAAAAAAACCGGACTGCTGAAGACAGTCGTAGTGACGTTTTAAATCATCCTCCCGTTAAATTTTCTTGCCGCCTTATGAAAAAAAAAACAACTGAATGCATCGGTAGTTTTCCAGTTATCTAACACGTAGGGTACTTGATAAATTGTCATGTATTACGAGTCCGATCCTTCAATACCTGCGAAAGTGTAATATTATTGATTATTGGCGCCTGCGTTACGAATTCAATTGGCCCACGTAAGCCAGCCAACATAGTTAAGCGGATGAAACCGTATGGAGGTTAACTGTGGGTCATGACGGGTGTATAAAACAGTATGACTAAATTATCGTCATAGTTAGCGTTCTCCTTCCGTTTGGCCGATACTGCTTTAATAGCCATAACTAAGATGCTCGTCAGATTAAATGAAAATACATCGGACCCCGAGGCAAAACGGTGCCTAAAAGTGCTAGAAGAGACGTGGGCCTTACTGTTCTTGTGGCGAGCGTGCAACTCCGTCTCGTCAATGGCTTTCTTAATTAATGAACGCAAACTTCTAAAAATAAGCATCAACACCTACTGTTTAATTGTCACAATATTATGGAACAATATACTTGGAGAAGATATATAGCCTTCAGCTTTCAGCAACGTGTATTGCTTTGCAACACAGGACGTTGACGTTGTAACATTTGCCGGGGCCTACACCTTCCTTACGACGTAGGTTTGATACTTATTCTGCTCACATTCAATTCGCGTTTTTATTGGATATTTTCTATGAACTTACCTATGCACGTAACTTAGTCTAAGTTGAGATTAGCAAAGTAATAATGTTCATATAGTATCGATAATATCACAAGTCATGTAAATAGCCTGACTGTGCTAAACAGAAACGAAAACAATGAGCCGAAAGTAAATTTTCCATATGATGCATGTAATCTAGGCATATATTACGTCAAAATGTCAGGATGCCCCTATCAGAACCTTGTTTTTGTTTTCATAAATTTTGGTGTCTGTCCTAGGATTTCCTGTTCTGATTCCTACCTTGGCTTGATGAGTTTGTAGGTTAGAGTGGCGTCGGAAAACGCAGTCTTGTGAAGCCCTTTACCTTAGATAATAGAGCAGGATCCAAATAAAATGCTACGAAGAAGTTTTTAATTGAATTTTGCAGCGACAGCCTTATATAAAACTCTGCTATGTCATTCTTAGATTCGTTTTCTAAAATCTATGCATTTATTGCGGCATACAGCTTGCCTCATTAGCGATCGGGTAGTTATTTTATCCCCTCTATGTCGCAACCCCAAGTGTTTATATATATTCTGATAATTCAGCACGGTGGTCCGACACATCGCCATTTAATGCAATACAAAATACGCCAGAAATAGTTCTATTCCGCATTGGCCCTGATGCTATTAATTCCTTAATTACCATTTTCATTAGATACACTATAAACATATGAGGTCCAAAAGAGTATGCTTACCTATGCGAGGAAACAATCTAAAAGGGTAGCAGTCTTCACAAGCTACGAGAGCTGGAACAAAATGCTTCCCTGGAAGTTCCGATTAAATGGTCCCCTCCATGTCGTACAAAAGGATACTGCTAGTATTGGATTGTTATTTGCTCGACTGATTAGTCCTTTCAAGCTATTTCACTAGAAACTTTCGCTAACTTACCACACTATTGCGCTGTCCCTTCTCGTCCATGTTCATCTATAGTCTGTCTAACAGTGCAACAGAAGCCAGGTTTTATTGTACCGGCAGCAACGGATGCGCGCCAAAATTTTGTTAGACTATGTTGACTTTTCGACGCTCCTTAGCACGTATTCCGCTCTATCCTGATACGGAACGTCAAACAGTTCTATTTTTAGTACCCGACAAAAAGTATGTGTAATTTGAAAGAATGCTCTGTTAAGTTGACAGTGCAAAGTTGCACAGAAAGTTCTCTGCCGACCGTGTCCGTCAACAAACCTAGTATTTACCGAAAGGCACTTGGCAGCTTGTTCCCTAAACGGCAAGAGTGGAGGTCAAGTCAGGAAAACGATATTTCCATATATTCCTATGCATTTGTAATCAGGTCTATGAATAATATCTGAGGGGATAGCTAATATTGGTTCCCGAGAGCCTAATAGAAACAAAGAAACGATTGATACGAAGCCGCTACCTACAAGCAGTAGGCTCACAGCGGCCTTTGAAGTTGCATAATGATGTAAAGACCGTTTCTGGATTTATAGACGCCATTGTAAAGTGTAACCCTGTTTAAAAAAGCTTATAAACGAATTATTTGGCTTTGCATATTTTCTTGTAACATCTATTTGCCGTTATAGGTATATATTCGCGTGTTTCCGTGGGGTTTTATTAGAAACGGGTCAGTTATGGCATGTTCAATGTTTCGTCCGAACCCAAATTGAATCTTTATGATGGCTTATTGTTTTCAACTAATACTGTATATTTTTAGACCCTCAATTGTTTGCTACTGCATATCACAACCGCATGAATGGTTTATTCGTTAACTGTATTTAGTAAATTTTAATGTTCCTAGTGGAGGTCAATGATCCTTGATAGGCCGCAAAAAAATTTCACAGTAAATAAATTCAAGGTAAGTAAATCTAGTAAATACAGTTATAACGAGCGTCCGTCCCGATCCCAACATTGGATTTGATTAATACAAAAAAAAATATAGAATTTCTAAAGACCGACTGAATAAGATTTAGTATGCTTCTAGGCAAAACGCTTCCGAAGATTTAAATGGCAATGTACGCACACGACCTTTTAGCCTTGAATGATAGAAGGTTTTATTTGTAGCATAAAATAACAATATTGCTATTAGTGTTGATAGCTTAAACGAAAACTATATGCTGAATATACTAGGAGAGTTCTAATACGTTTCCGGTACAAGCTACTGCTATGAAAAACACCCCATATGTCACCATATAGTTTTTGAATGGACCTCACCACTTGGCTTGAGTTAAGTTTATTAATTATATATGTATTTTTATGGTAATCAACTGTGTTATTGCACAATTATAGGCTTATGGACACATGATAGACAGTTATTTATCAAAACACGTGTGTTATGTGGGCATATTAATTATTTGCTATTTGGGAAGGCGAACACCCATCTCTGAATAAGGTGAGTCGTAGACCTCACAGTTATTTTCCTACATATACACTATATATACATTGGGCTTCTGAATTTAGATGGATACACGATTAAATTATAATACGCAGTATATTCTTCTATCAATACTATTAACTAAAAGTTACCGTTTGCCGAGCCTCTGGTACATATTGTAGTAATGTTTGGTTCTCTTTTTTATTTGAATTGATTGCATTCCCAGTATGCTGAGGATTTTTTGATGATCTTTTTTATATTCATAATTCGGTCCTTGAAATTAACTCTATTGACGCTTAGGCCGAAGTTTCCTTGAAGGTTGAAGTGAGAACCTGGTAGTTTTCCAAACAGTTTCTGGCTGTTTGATTTGTGGCCGATATCATAGAAATAAAGTACATTTTCCAGTAGTTTCTAGATATTCCAGACAGGAAACGACGTGTAAAAAAGTTGCAATTGGGTTAAGGACGTGTGTGGTTTGGGTTAAGGATGTGGTGAATCTAGCGAACAGAAGAATACGCTGGATAGAGCTGACCTGTTTTGGATACGCTTTTAATTAGGCCTTCAGTTATATAAAGTATTTGCGATTTGACTGTTTTTACCTAATTGTGAGTTCTAAGTAGTCGACATTTTCTCCTGTCCTTTCCATGTCTTGGCCTTCGTATGACCTAATATCTCAGTTTTTTCCTACGAATAGCATAAAGTTATCCTGAGCCAGTGGCTGCTTTCGGCTAATACTCCAGTCAAATGAGCTTTCAGGTAATGATCTGCCCTCGCAGCTAAAAGATATATGTCGTTTGCAAATTGTATTTGAGTGACACAAAGATTCCATATTATAAAGCTATAAAACTACTAGATTTATCTAGTACATTGACTCCCTGACTTCTTTGTTTCGTTTTGAATAACGTTTGAGTGCAGACTTACTTTACTTCGGAGCAGACTAAATATATAAATGATAGCGTTGTTTATCTGCACGGTGTCTGAAGTACCCGAAGTTAGATAGAATTTAATTCTAATACTTTGACATCGATGTACCGTTACGTTATGTAGGAAAAGAAACCATATTCAGCATTTATTTTATCGCCTATAGTAATGATGTATTGATTCGAATTTTCCACAGGGGGAATAGTCCTATATTTACTGTTAATTATTGCAACGTCACTGTTAGTGATGTTGTTTGGGTCAACGTTACTGAAAGTTGAACTAACTTACGACAAGATGAGCCTAAGATGAATCCGTGCTATACCCTCACTATAAAATTGATCTATACATGGATTGATATGATTATAGTGATAGGACTGATTTTGCACAGGAGGAATAGTGCATTGATTCCTGTTGTTAAATGATGACGACGACTATAGAGCCAGCACTGGCAACATAAAATACAAATTTACACTGAGTAGCGATTTTAAATGCCGACAACCAAGCTCTTTTTAGGACATTTAATTAGCAACGGTTTTAGACGCGACGTTGAAGCCATGTTTTATGTCGCGTCCCTTTATTTGCTTGTTTCGACACTCCGTGGGTAAGATCAGTTGACCAAACTACCTAACTGATCATGAGAATCTTTTATCGGAGTTTCCTGAGCATTCACATGGCTTTCGTCAACCGATTTACCATGCATCATCGTTGTTTTCATTGATCTTGATTATTTCAGGGTGACTCTACACCGGCTAGTCTCATTAGGTTATATTGGGAAACGGCACACATTGTGGGAGCTGCGAATCCGAAAAAGAAATAGATTTGAATTAATTACCCCGTCTTTCTGTAATAATAATACCATCCATTCGTGACTTCCCTATCGTTGAGCTGTCGCCCTATAAAAGTAGCTTTGTTACCCTGCTACGGTTACTGGGTAGCCTATAGATAGCGTTTACATACGAGTGTAAAAGCTGTTTCGAGCTGTACCATGTACTGTTATTAAGTGTACATGTTCGGCACCTGTAGCAGACCAAAACGCACACAAGAGATTTCACGGTTTATGTGCAATACGCTTAAGAGCAGAGTTAACAATTTCTGCACACGGTCTCTCACAGAGGGGCCTACAAACATGTTCATGATTAATAATTATTCGCATCAGTAACAAATGCCAAACGATCCTTTGGATAGAGAGTTTATGTTTTGTATTGATGTACTATATTTTGCAGCGATTTTATCGAAAAAATGCTCTCGTACAGCCAATTCAGGCTTTGGATATCTCCCAACCATAATTAAAATAAAATTCCCGAATTTCACTCCAGATTTCGCTAGTAGAGCCTATATTAAGTCGATAAAAAGAATTTCACGCAAGCTGCAAAAAACCAAAAAAAAAAATTAATATAAGAACATAAAAAAGTAACACTTAGGAGGATATCGGGGTCCAATTTTATTACAAAAACATATCCGTCTTTTCAGTAACGAAATGTCCAAATGAAAGTTTCGAAAAAATCTGTGGATCAGTAACGAAATGTCCAAATGAAAGTTTCGAAAAAATCTATGGATCTTAAAAGTGTCTTTGATACTCGATATTTATTTAAATTTCGCGCCAAAAATTGAAACTAAATCGAAAATTTGTTATGACACCCAGTGATGGAGATTCTTCAGTGTTAGCGCGTCGTTTAATGTCTAAAATGCTTGAACCAACAATTTAATTTTTCCTATGTTTCTTTTTTTTCCGAAAGCCGAATTTCTCCTGGTTGCAAAAAATTCATGTAACACACTTCAATACAAGTACACATAATTTGGAAAATCGGCATTATTAGTAGGTGTGTCTTTGTTGGAACTAGAAGCTGCGAAAAGTAAAATACACACCTATACCTCTTACTATCGGTGTATGATACCTACGGAGCGCCCTCACCCTAATTCGCTGGTCTTAATAACAAAGGGTGAAGTTGACTTCAATTTTGTGCTCAAAAAGCTTCGAGTCAAGCTAAAACAGCTAGATTTTACTCGAATGAAAATGTGTCCTTTGCTAACGTTTTTAGCCCTCGCAAGTGCTTGCCTACCCATCGAAACAACTTACGTTAAATATCTGATTTCACTTGCACAGAAAACCTTTTCCAGTACTTAAAGTTGAAACGGATTCGCAAAGAAGTATAGGTAAACAAGGCAGAATTTATTGATTTTACACGTACCTTCTATTACGTAGTTAATTGTGCCTTATGTTTTGCAGGGTGTAAAGCTTGTAATTCGTGGCTAAACGCGAGAACGTCGTAGTTAATTGTAACAATATGTGTAATATTGCAAACCGTGCTACTGGAAGCACGGGTCATCGTAATCACTTTTACGGAGTGTTTCGATCGACGCTTTCCGCACTGAGAACACATCCGTCAAATACCCTTGCTAGAGGAAGAACCGATTTCGTATAGATCGGTTTTATGCTCGAAGTTTTTCTAGGTCTTCCGGCCACGAGGCGTTTCCTCCTTGAAAGAAGTCGATCGCGTGAACAATGAAGTCTTTTCGGTCTTTATTGAACACGAAATTGACGTGTGAAAAACGATCGTCGGCGATTCGATGCAGGTTCGACGAGGGAATGCCTATATCTTTCGCCATTCTCTGCACCTCCTGCAATTTCGACAGGAAAAATAGCATGACGTCAAACTCAGTTCCTCATTGAAGAGACGTTTACGGACTAAGTATGAACTTGAACAGTAAATGACAGTCTTTTATTAGTTAGTAATAAAAGCTCATTCCTTAAACGGCACGAAGTCGTCTCCATCGCTGTAGTAGATTTTAATTGGAACTTGGATATTTTTGGCGTCCAACAACGGCGGTTCAGGGGTTCCATACTTCTTTACGTTCATCGACTCTTTCCAGCCGAGCGAGATAAGAAGGGACGTGAGCGCACCCTGATCATAATCATAATCACGCACTGAACCATCACACCCGGTTTGTCGCGTCTGGAATTATTGGAACACTATAGCTTTAGCATCTATCACTATTCCGGTATAATTTTCGTCCCGATTGCTGATGTATCGCTCACCTGAGCATAGTAGACAAATGTCTTGAGTGATGTGCCAGCGGGAACATGTTCCAAATATAACGCGAACCGCGACTGAAAGTAGCAAGCGAACGCCATGTAAACGGTATATTGACTTTTCTGAAAACAATGTCGTTCAATACATTTTTTTTTCGCAGTCCCATAGTAAAACCCTATGTTGTTGCATTGTTGTTTTTTAGTTACATTCTCCATAAATGAAGATTCCGATATTTTAACAATGCCACTTTGACTTCAGATGTATTTTCATTATATATGTGTACATAATCGTTTCAAGATGACTATGTACGTATATACAAGTAAAGCCATGACAAATTGTTAGACCATACAAATAACGTTGGAGGAAAAAGAAATGATAAACGTTTTCGCCGGGTAGCTTACAAACGGATGTCGCTTGTAATCAATGCTCAAACTTTTCTAATTTACACAACCTCGTGTCAGCGGTATTGGAACAAAATATAATACGTAAATATACATAAATGTTCCTGCAGTTTTAGAAATGAAGCCAAGGCGTATTTGTAATGTGAATACTTACAACATTGAAATAATGGTCCGATTTGAAGCCCACGTACGTCATAAGCGTCCCGCAGAAGTTGCCAGCTCTCGCACATAGACGGCCTACTGGTGAGAAAGAGAGAAAGAGGGCTGCCAGATATTCGATATTCAGCAGCAAATCCTAGGTACCCAAAACAAATAATAACAAACAATAACCAACATCTAGTAATTCAAGGCGCTTGATTTTAACATTAAATATTCAGCAACCATGAAATAACTACCTTCGTATAGAAATGGAGTGTAACTTTAGTTTAACGTTGGAGAAAAAACCATAACATGTGCTTTACATTTTGATGGTACATGTTTAAATATATGCCACAAACACTTAGCAACAACACATATGTTCTATATCACAGGATCCAATGATAATCTGTATGGCCCCTAGATTGGAACATTCACTGACTGAGAAAAAAATAGGTTAAGTTTACAGCATAGCTGCTTTGCATCAGTGTATCGGGCTCTCGAGCGAGGGCACTAGAAGGCTAATCCTGCATGGTATGTATTACAGTCCTTCACGTCTGTTACAACTCCATTTTTCGCTAGGTTGATCTGCTGAGACATTCAGAGAAGCTCTCATTTGCTGGAAGTCCACAACGAGATTTCAGGGAGAGCAGCGGAGTGCACGATAAAAGCCAAGAGCACGCCTGAGGAAAGAGGCTTTTATTGGTTAAGTAGCTCGAGATCACCTGCAGTAAGATCCCCCTAAACTATACTTATCCCGTTACGGGTGCCTCTTTGAAGCCGAAAACGCAGAGCGCTCTTGTGGTGGAACGATGATTTGGAGTCCTAATTGCACAAGATAAAATTAATGCTTTTCTATACCTTTCTGTGGTTTGCGGGGTGAAGTAGTGATTATTAAATGAGATAAATAGCCTGAGATAATCGGAATCCGTTGCCGTACCGAAGGAACGATACGATGAGAGGCATTATATCGCCAGGCATGATCCTGCCTCCCTTCTGGAATTTATGGCCTTATCCAAGTTGACCGTTAGGCCCAGTTCCGTTACGGCCGCAACAATCCTAGTCAAAGCCGCGGAATGTTCTTAAAATTTTCCAAAAGGGTAAATTACCCAGCTATACCCGTATAGGATAATCTCGACCAGATTCTCTTAACCTTGTCATCAATGCCTATATTTTCCTCTAGGAGGATCGCAGCTGGCAGGGCAAACATATATCATAGTGGACTTGTGTACGCCAAAATACGCAGGATCAGATATTTGGATGCAGGGCCGAATGCGGCTATTTAGGGTGCCTATTTAATATCAGGCATCAGGACACCGCATTCCGCTCCTCCGAAATCTATGTTGTTCCCTCGGTAGAAGTTTGCTACTTCCTAAAAAGGCAAGTAGTCTTTTGGTCAGCAGACCAGCAAGCTCCTTGAAGCATACGTTCACCTTGGCGATTTTGCGTCATGATGATGAAAAAATATTACCATTATCGATATGCTTCAATAACTGCTAGGTAGGAAAGGACTATGTAGGTGATGATTAGCTTAACACTATCGTTAAAGGCAACCGGTTCTGCAGGGAAGAATTATTCCAGTTTATTCGTTAACGTTTTTTTTTTTTTTCTTTTTTTTTGTCGTTATATAGCCCAATAATAGGCTCACTACAATTTATTAACTTTTGAAAAAATCCGCTTATAGAACATCACTGTTGTGAATCAGCTATGATGAGCTATTCATGATTTCGTGCGAACGAGCCTGTTATTCTGCAGAATGAGAAAAATGCATTTCCTACTAGAAAGGGCTGTGAGGAGAGGTATTAGAAACGACATTTTATAACCATTTACTGCCAAGTTAGGCACACGAAAAATGACTGTCCATTCCCATAGGTCCATATGAAGTTCTGCTGCACAATGTGAGCTCCGGTATTGAGTGCTCTAAATACGGGCACATCAACCAGAAGGTACATAATTAAAGTAGATACATAATTATAGTAAATTCATCCATGGTCGGGATTATCCACAGTATGGTGCACATTTGTATAACACAGTTTTGTCCGGTATGAAATGAAAAAAAAAAAGAAAATGTGTTACGTTCTTGACAACGACAACATGTGATATAACAGTTGCTGAATATACGATGCTCTGACCTAACATATAGACACTTATACGTATGCCTATTGAGCTAAATCGCACTCTGCACTGCCGGTTAGATTTTTTAATTTCTCCGTAAAATTAGCATCGAAGGCATCCGATACGTGTGCTCGAAACGCAGTAACTTATATAGTTACCCTGTATTGTTTAGTCCAGGATAGCTATGTAAAACAACACAGAGAAATTCCGCGTTTGTATGGCAACACAGGCCTTCATCTAGTCTTGGCTTATTCTGTATAGTTATGATTATAAACTTAAATTTGAGTTAATACAAATAAGGAGAAAGAAGGGCTTGTATTCACGTACTTACCTACCATTTCGGGAATACCTCTGTGTGTTTTTTGCGTGTGGACTTGGCTTGAACAGAAAATATTGATCAAAGCGATATATGGGAAAATTTCTTTCGGTCAACAAATATGAAAGACCTATATGCGCTGCGAACTTCGGAAAGATGCGGCAATTAACTCAGAAACGGTCGGCATTTATGATACACTTAAACCTGAAACGGTCTTAGCTTTTCGAGTTGTACATAGTACGTCGAAAATTAGATCCTCGGAAGAAATTACTTATCTTTTTGACTGCAACAGTCGGATGTGCTGTGTTAACCAGTTTAGAATTTATGAAAAATATATATTTTTCCCTATTTATATTCCCCATTTACTTTATTCAGTTTTGAAAGTTAAAAACACTTTCATACCAGAATAGTCCCTAGGAAATAACGGGCCAAAGGCAGCAGAGTGCCATCTCAATCACAACACGAGCACGATAGAATTGACACATGTCACTAGGATACTCGGACCAGGGGCGTACTTGGAGCAGGGTAATGAAGCAGCTGAATTGGGGTAAGCCTCCGAAGCAAAAGTAACGGATCAGTGTATTGAATCAATGTAAGTAAATAGCTAAGACAAAGTGATGGGATGATTCAACAAAACCATACAGTGAATACAACAAACTAGACCAACCTGGGTTCAGGCTGGGCAGCTGGAACAGAGTGGTGCATCTGTTTAATGTGATAGATTGACTTATTCGAAGTCAAGGACCGCAATGGGTGTTCGTAAGTAGAAGTGGACGAACACCACACGAGTTCAGTAAATATATGAATTATTACTAATCCATGAACTGGTATTGGTGATCAGCTGGAAGGTCATTTCATTCGCAGTACTATTCTTCATGGTTTATGACAAGCTGCAACAAATGGCGTCAGTGGCTGAGAAAATAAACAGTACTCATACATGTTTATTAATCGCTATCATCAACAATACAAAACAAGCCCTGTCCTCGATGTGTACGGGGCGATCGCAAACTTTACCTTGACGCCATATGGTTGTGTTGTCTGGTATATGTACATTCGAGTGACTTTTAAAAAGCACTTACCGATAAGGGCCATGCTAGTTTGGAGAACACGACAACTCCAACATTGCTGGAGAAGCAAAGACTCCGAAACCCGCCGTACGATGCAATGGCGTGGACCTTTGAATTATATTCTGGCCGTTTCGAGAGTAGGGCGAATGCAGCGGCTGCCCCCTGAGAAACACCGGTCAAATATACCTATATAGCGTCGATACCGAAGACGTGATTGTAAGATAGGTGTAGATAGGTTAGATAGGGAAAACACACATTCCCCACTCATCGCATTGCGTGAACTGTAAATAATTAATTATTTATAGTTATGAGTACAGTGGTGAGCTCAATAATATGTTGCAAAAAAATAGATTGTATAATATAAAAGAAAGAACTGAGTGAGAGAGAGTGCTCGATTACATTCGTTTCCAATGACCAGTTAACTAAAAGAAATTACGTACAACATGACGGGAAGTGATGATCCGCTACATTTTTTTCTTGAGGTATTGTTGGATGTTCTCGAATACGTACTGACAAGAAGAGTTTGAAGTGCCGGATAATCAAAATTGGCAAAAAAAAAAAAACTTTATAGTTCCTTCGAAATAGTACTTTATAGATAAAGAAAATTGAAAGTGGCTTGCATGCATAGGGGTTAAGTGCTGCTACCAGATCGCGGAGATTCGTATAGAAAATACCGAGCTTCCGTATTTTTTCTTGATCATTTTCAACTATTTTCAAGATCTTGAGAAAATGAAAAAAATGTCCGGTCGTACAAATTTGGTTAACGGTATTACACTGGACATAAACATTCAACCTGGTAGTAACAAATCGTTCTAGAAGGAAGAGCCGGTTCCCATATACAAGCAATTTCTTCATAATTCATCGTCCTTGAAATAACGACTTGATCAAACCGCACCAATTTGCTCTTGTTTTTTTCTTTTTTGTAATAATCTGCTATGTGAATTTTAACTAACTATAATAGTCCCTTGTGTTATTGACGACCCACTTGTTTGCCTACATATATATATATATATATATATATATTAATGTTTACCTGGTCTTCCTAAATCTTGAAATTTTGGTACCTTTGTTTGTCCAGTATATTGTATGACGTAGTCGATTTGCATAGGAAAGTCGAATTCTGCTATATCGAGGTGGGTAAAATCGTAGAAGGCAAGCTTGTCCTTGACAGGATCGAGAAAAACGTGCCTTCTACCAAATCGATTACCTCGTACGTTCATCAGCCAAACATCATACCCGGCATCTGCAAACAGATATGCTGCACAAGATATACCGTAGAATGTATTACAGATGCGAGTAATACAGTGAACGGTCCACTGAGACAGTCAACAGAAGCAGTCTGAAATTTACGCTTATCTCGTTTTTATGTGTCGGCCGTGAGGGTTCGACATAGCCATATTATTTTAGCTTGCAGTATGACTCTAATTTCTGTAAATATAAGCCTATTCACGCACCAGCTGTGTTGTTCCTGTAGTCAACGACCGTTATCGCTGAAGTACAGAAGAGCGGTAATCCGAGCATCAGCGCAGGCCTGAAAAAGCGAGTTTTCAATGCAAGATGAGCTCGGAGGAGCGCATTTTAGCATTTGTCGCTGCTTAGATACTTCTAGTAGTAGTTGATGTTATCGGTCGATATTGATGTTATAAAACAAAAAAACAGTGGCACTTCTATGTCCCGCGAATGTAACAGTGTTCGAGTAAGCAATCGTATGCATATACAAAAACTAATAGAAAAATTGGGTTAAAATATAGACATATTGTACAAACCGGACGCTGTTGCTGAATTTTTTGTGATACACTCGATGCATTTCTATAATGTATCCATCTTTGGTCGTCACTTCGTGCGTCTCGAATTCGAAGCCACGACTTCGGACCAGCTCCTCCTATAACACTCTCACCATTGACAGGCTCGTAAATGATTATGAAATTTTGCCGAAACATCTGATTATGTGAGAAAAATATGTTTGTGACCCATTTCGCAGTGTTACACATGACGCGATTAAGCGTGGGCAATCGTCAAATTCAATCACCATAACACCAAAGAGACACTAATTTTCCTCCATCAAATGAACGCTGCAAAGTTTGCTTACTTTGGACAACGACTCTTGAACTTCGCGTGGTGAAGGAAAGCTTTTAGTTCTCATAGGTGGTTGGCTGGCGGTTTATACGACGATACATATGCGAACAAGCGGAAGAGAGAATTTCGACTACAAGTATTTAAAAACTTTCATTAATTAATTTTTTGCATCGTGTTTTTTTCCTAACCCCTTAACTGTTGTAAAGATACTGTATCGTGAGTGAAATATTGATCGTCTGCTTCAAAAGGTAGGAACTTGAAAAGTTCAAATTTATGTCATATTTTGTTTATATTGGCTATTGCAAGCTCTTTTGTTCTGCCTTGAGCCTAAATTTGCAAAGGTTTAACAATAATAAACAAATACCTAATGTATGTAGGGTAAATTCTTCGTTTTTATAAAGTATGCCAACGCTGGTCAATACAGATATAAACACTGAGTCCTCTTCTGAAGTCTCATAAATCCTATCTTTCTGGTAAAATACACTCATTAGCTGAGAGACTATTGCAATTAACTGTAAATTAGGGCTATCCGTAAACGATGCGTGGACAATCACTTACCACGCTCCTTCCAAAGTCGGGCTCGTTCAGCACGGGGAGTGCATAATCCACAAGAGGAATCAGTAGCCTTACACAGGGCCCACCCGTGAACAAATCAAACAACAGCACTCCAGAAAGGACAGTTAAAACGAGCGTCGAGCGAGATAAGACGCGCGTCGGGCTTCGGGGTCCTAGTAATCTGCTGATACTGAGTTTACTTATAAGAGTATCCTGATATTTCGAATCGCGAGGTTCCTTGCCATCTTGGTATCTCAACCTTAAAACTGGAACAGATGGTCTTTCTTTGTGCGACAGTATGGTTGACATCGTCGCTCTTCACGTACAAGTTAGCATAAAATCGATAACTTAAAGATAATGACAGCCTCCTGACAACAATGAAATACTAGGTTTAGGATTGTTACTGGAGGCCCTTTTGCACCAGTGTATTGTAAAAAGCGTTAGATCTCAGTAGCAGACGTATACGAATCCACCTCAATCGCAAAATCGTCCAGCAAACTTTTCCTTACTTAGAACAATAGTAGCCGCGATTCTCACAGACATGGAGCACTGGCCGTAATAGTCGTTCGATTCGCGCCTACGCTTATTTCCACGGAATTTTCACTCAGTAAGCCGTTCACTGGTTTTCCAAGTTGACAGTTATCATTAACAAAGACATGTCACAGTACCGCTGGTGGCCGTAGGACAATTGTGGACCACTCAACTCAGAATAGAATGGATACGGAGCGTTAGGACGCACTACCTGTCTGACGTGCCGATAACCGTATATTAAAAGATTAGATAAATCTTAGCCTCTTCATTGTCAACAAGATGCTATCTCAATCAAAATTAGCTTTACAGAGATGTCGAACAACAATTTTAGCGAGTACCCTTTACCCAAGTGTCAAAAACGCGCACTCGAATTGGATGTGTCAAAGAGACCGATGATGGTAGATATTTGATGCAGATGCTCGATACTCGTTTTACGAGTATACTCCATTATAATCGGATTCAGCTGAACTAAAGACAAAAACTAGAATGGAAACAAAAAAAAAAAAAAAAACGGAGAATGCGTATGAAATACTGTAGTATAGTTGCCTCTAAGGAAATGCTAAATACACAAACTGTGATCTTGAGTGGACCGTAAAGCAATAAAATAAATATTTTTGATTATGTTTAAAATGACAATAATAATAATAATAATTAAAGAAAAAACTTGATAAAAACAAAGGGTAGTCGAACTATCGTATTGCTTCTATTATTTTAAAAAACGTTTTTTATATCACCAAAATGATAATAGTACTGTTCGATACAGACCCGAATCTCAGTCCTAAAAACTTACGTTCATGTACGATGTAATCTTTTTTTAATTTTAACTTACTTGTCGTAATAAGTAGATCATGAGAGTTGCCGAGTACCCTCATCGCTAAACACCTGGCAATTGGCATACATCACAAGAGTGTATTTCAGCCATTAAAGGCTATAATACATACGAACTGTTGATTATCTCGACCCATCCCAAAAATGAGTGCAAATGTCTAAACAGGTTTCATTCATTCATGTTATCACACATCAATACGAGCTACGTATATGCATCAACTGGGTCCATTTTTAAACTCGTCAGTGGGCTTTTGAGCTGTCTATATACCAAGCAAATTAGTCACAAGGGGTTTAATACACAAGGGTTTAATACAATTCAAATAAAACTCAATCTACGTTTATATGAACATGCTGTAGCTATAGAATAAGGTAGCGATATACAATCTAGGTATGTTAGAGAATATGGCTGCCTTTTTAATTTTAAAAAAGTGCCTCAAGTACTCTACAAGGATATAGAAGACACACCACTTAAGCCTATTAGCAAAGGCCGAAAAATCAAGCAAGTACAATAGAGCAATATTTTTGTTCCGTATAAAATGTTCATGCAAAAGCATTTCAGGTTGATTCATTTTGGCCTACAACTTGCACCGAGCTATTTTCAGTGTTATCATATGAAGCATGGCTATCAACCCGTGTTGATCAAGGGCATTCCTTTGCTATGTTTTGTTGTAGAAAGTTTAGGAAAAGTCGCAGACGAACGTTTGACGCCCGTCTCGTTTGTATGCATACGGTATCGGCATTTGACTTATCTGTAGTAGTTAGCGTACTACTAACGATTACGGTGATCAGCCAAAAACGGACGAGTACACAAGAACACACTGCTTTGCCAGTTCATAGTCGCATAAACCCTTTTTCGCATTGCTAACCTCGTTCGCCGATTCGTCCTCCGCCGTGCATCTGTCAGCCGTTCAGAATCGATCCGCTGAAGAAAGCAAACCCGAAAAACGTAACCGTTAAAGACAGCGTATATAACACCCTGAGCATAGGCCACAGCAGAGCAAAGATCGTTTTGCTAAGGTTCAGAAGATGTCAGCCCAGTGGACTGAAATCATTGGTTCGACATAAATCGACTACTGACTTACTATAAACCCTGAGACATGTACACTCTTAGGATCGCTATCGTGCGATTGTCCTCTAAGGACGTTTCATTAGCGAATGGCCTCTGCAGGCCATCCAAAAGTAGACCTGACCCTATCGTTCATATACCATTATGGTGCGTTAACCAGAGTTGATACATTTTCTGCCGGAGCACTAATTTGCTGCTATCTATTATAAGTACGGTGGATAAGCGAACCGATAGAAACTCTCCCGATATACCGCAAGCCGCAACGGGACAAAGGAGTTCGAATAAAACACATATTAAATAGTGCTTTCGGGTTCGCTGAGACTGTTAGTGGAGCAGGGATCGTTTGATACGCTACCTAATTCCAACCGAAAGTTTCTTAAACCTTTGTTAAGCCTGCCTGCCTGCCTACCATTTGACGCTACGACGTATCTATTTAAGGGTTAATGCATTATATCTTATCACGTGATTTTTCCCTTTCCTTAAAGGTGTCTTATTGTACGGATACCACTATAGATTGTTATATTTTTCCGCTCGTTCTAGCTACTTGTACTAGCCCGATATTTAGTTTTTCGTTATTTCGATTCCCGCCCAAGTTCAACGCTGCGCGATCGCTCCCATTAAAGGCTATAGCAATTTCTGTTATAGTTTCTCTGCATTAATTTAACATTCCCTATATTTTACTATCGGTTCTTTTTTGGATAGTCACATAACTGCTACGACTGAAACTCTGGCCGCGCAATTTGGATATGCTCGATTTACGTACAATATGTACGTAGTCGTCTATATTACGTGCCTACATTTGTACATCAGACAATGATGACAAGCTAAACTGCAAGCGCTATATAATGCGCTACAACGGTGTTATTACGTTTAAGTTCTCAGCTAAACAAGCTCATTTTCCGTTGCGATATCTGACGTTTGTTCACGTGTGCTGTACGAGTAATAAAAAAAAAAAACATTTTCTAGATGAGAAAAGCGGCTAAGGCACATCGTGAAGCTACACCGTGGAACAATGATAATAGCGGGGTAACAGACACGGCAATGAAGTGTCACAACGATCGCAACAAGCTATGATATTTCGAATTCGCGAAAGACAGGCCTAAATCTCACTTTGGATAGAATAGAATAGAAGAAGAATAGAGGAATCGTGTCTGCTCGGTTCAAACAAACGATGAATAGGAAATGCTATAGGTACTTATGGAACGAATGCTGAACATGCGTTGCGCTCTTTGATAGGGCTCAGGTCCAGTGGCGACAGTCACTTCGTTACACTGATATATCATTGGTTTTTGATGTGTTTATTCCTTCGTTGCACGTGTACACCCTCAGAGTTTATCTTTGTCGTGCGGTCTCCATACCCTTCGAAAAGCTTTCAACAAAATCCGTAAGTAATCGACCAAATCATTAGTGCTCTCCTCAACAGTACGCCTGCTTTTTTTTGACATAGGGAACGACCCCATGTTTTGTTTAAATGTCACATTGCTAGGTGTATCTTTCAGTAAATTTTAAACATTTATATTTCAATATATTTTTGAATAGGTCGCAAGAAACGTCTACCGGCAACGAGCGTGCCAGCTTCGTCTTTCTTCCGTGTCCCAGCACCTGATGTCTGTAGAGATTTACTACGTTTTCTAGCTGTTCTACCAAAACCAGTTTTTCAGTACTCAATTCAACCACTGAATTCGGTACGCTAAATTGCCAATACCTCATATTAATACAATCATTTGAAGACTTAAGATCTGGCTGACTAGTCCCGTTGTTTGGGGCAGTGCGTTTAAGCAGTAATAGTCGGCCACGTCAGCTTATTTGGTCGACTACTTAGGTTAGTGCAGAAGAGTGAATAGAACCCTTCTACTACATCTAAAAAACCTGATCTTGTCACATAACTGACATTTACGTTACCATTAGCCCTACTTTCCCAAATCTCAAAACGAGCCTTGTTTATTTTCGCATTTTCATTAGTCTTGCACCACACATGACAGCCGATTTGCGCAGAAATAGATAACGTTGTAAAGGGCAAATCAATCCCGAACGTAATGGGAGCTTTGTGCCGCACGCCAAAAAAACTGCCTCGCGCATTCATCAACCGAGTATGATAGCCAGCACCCGTAAACAAGTATGCTTCATACCATATTCGATGAGATACATAACCGGTCAGAGTAATGGCCAATAATACCGGGCTTCGGAAAGAGAAAAAGCCAGAGGTTTGCTCATTTCTGCCGTCATATCTAAGTGGTCTGGGCTGGAGAAGCTAAGAGGGCGCCACATAATGAAGAGGCACTACCTTGCACAGATCATCGTCGATTCGAGTAACTATTAGTCTACTTACGGGTCAGTTGTGCTACTTCGTATGCAATGTAGGAGCAATATCGCTAAGTTACATAGCAAGGGTCATTCGAGCATTAATGCAGGCTTAGAAAAACGAGTTTTCGGGGCAGAAGTTGAGATATCCGTGTTGTAAAAATCTACTACCGTTGCTATGCATTGTTTAACAAAGAGCCCTCCTATCTTTACAGTTCAAGATCTTTTCGGTGTTGTTCAAGTAAAAATTGTGTTTGGTTAATTAATAATACACATAAAGCAAACCCAAGTATGCAAGGTAATCGTTCTGCAGGATTTTAAATTTATCAGACTAAGGGCGGGGATTACATATTTAGTTGGGCGTAAACGAAGATGTCGACATTGACGATTCGTGAAGTAGTTAGTTTGAGTACACATGATTCTTCCTAATGTGAATAGCAAGCCAGATTGTACGCTGTCACTGAAACTTTTATGCTATACTTGATTCATTTCTATGACGGTTCTAGGTTCAGTCGTCACTGCTGCGCTTTAAATTCAAACTTGCGTCTTCGAACAACTTGCAACAATGTCATTACTAGAACGCTCCTAGATAAAGGCAAAGCAGATATTGAAACATACGAGACTACGTAACGGAAAGCAAATTTGCGTTTTTTTTCTTTTTTATAATACTGCAACTAATGCCATTTACGAGATAAAGCAGTCATCAAGTTCGACCTCGATTGGAGCGTAAACTGCACGAAGAGGCAAATACTCCCGCTCCGTGCTTCTGGTCTTTACCGTAAGGAACTTCAGCAGTTCTATAACCGTCAACGAGACAGCGCATATTTAAGCTAACTTTTTGACGCATCTGGACAAAACTATCATTTTTACGAAAGTTACAAAAACGTCGCTGCATGCCCTATGTTGTACATCTTGCGACTATAAAAATTAAGTTTTCAATACTACCCCAAAAAATGAGCCTTATTAGGGAAAAAGGCACATTAACCCGACTAGCTCGCGTGCAGCAAAACAAATGTAAATTATAACTATTTACGGGAAATGCATAGACGATGGTACCGTAACCGCGTTCCTTTCAAATCGGGATCATCCACGCTTAGAGAACAAATAGTCTACGAGAAAGGCCTATAGTTACTAGTGGCTCAGACACAAGCATTCTAAAGGGCACACATCAAACACCCTACCGCTAGCTCCAAACTGCCACGTTCCAGAAACCAGCCAGCCATTTTCACTCACGGGTCCTCAGCGGAGTAGTGCATCTATCAGCCGAATTTGGTCTTTTGGCGATCCGTAAATCAAAGCTTATCCAATTTAAAAATTCGGATAGCCTAATACACATTACGCTTCAACTCTGAGATATTCAGAACTGTATTCCTCTAACATAGGTAGCATAGAACCTAATTTTATTGAGAAATCTGATAAGACAAGCAAATAGGGCACGTGCGATTGGAATAATCATCTCACGGTAGAGAAAGTATTGGGACACAAACATGTACCTCCCCACGTGTCGAATCATTCACGAACGGCTACCAGACCCAGGCAGAAAACACTACCTAGGGCAAATGCGTGTGCCGAAAGTTTCACATATAATAAGACGCTCTTATAATAAACATTAATAACGTGATCGCTGTAGGCGAGTTCTAAGCAAGGATTTTATTTATTTATAAATAATATATTTTTTACCTGCAATAAACTGATCGAGTTTACTATGCGCACATATTCAATGTGCATCAATCAATAACAACCCCTCTGTTTTTAATGCTGGTCATATTTGAAGCGCGGTCAGGTTTACTGTCATGGTACCTTTTAAGATCTAATATTGTTGTACTAATGGTGAACTTGTGCGTACCACTCTGGGTTTACCACGTTGTTTCGTATCAAATCAGCAACAGCCAGAGTGAGCGCACCGTGGGCCTCTGCAACAAAATCCCGAATTAGAAATGTTTCTGTTGACCTTCCAGAAGCACGATAGGGAAGAAACGATCAGTGATCAGCAGAGAATTTTTTCCTAGTAGTGGAATGCTATTATGAAACAGTGATAACTGTCGATGTTTCCAGGTGTTACATTAATATGGCGTATGCGATTTAATCACATTAAATGAAGGTAATATCAGTATCTTTATTATGGTCTGGAGCTGATTTTGCGAATCTGTGTCATGGGATTCTTTATAACCTGAATTTCTCAGTAATATTGTATTAAAATATAATAATAAATGTAATAGTAGAAATTTACAAATGGCCATCTTGATGACGCGGCTAAAATGATACGATAATTTTTGCTCGAGGCATCGATGAACGACTTGTCCAAAAAATGAGTATAAATACAGCCGCTATTCCGACGTTGAAAAGATACTGATATTACGATGGCTGGAAATGCCGTCGGCCATTGCTTCATTCCTAGAAGCTCTTTTTTTCCTAATTTGTTAAGAAAATATTTACTTTCTACTTCGTCAAAATGTGTGTACTGCCTTCAAATTTAGCGGTCCACAAGTCGGAGCTCTTTTGCGCGATTCGAAAGTATTAAGAAACAACTTTTGTTCCGATGTTAATACCTGATGAAAATACAGATAAGTTAATGATTGATCTTATCTAGAAATCGAGCCGTGCTTGTATACAATCATGGTACATTTACGCAACGTCATGGGCACACCAACCATAAAGTCGAATAAGATCAACTATAGATTTACGTGGCGAGTACGCGGCGCCCTCAGAGACATATGTATAGCGTGGGACTAGTGGCTCGAACGTGTACGTGATAATGGCCTTTTCCTGATCAAAATGATTTTGTTTGGTATTTTTTTATTTCAATAAGGTAAAAATAGGTTCATGTAATAGCAATCCCGTGTCAGGCTTATCGATTCACCCAATAGGAGCTATGTTTAATTAAATCTATCTTATCGGCTTGAACTTTATTCCGA